AAAACAGTTTTAAAAGGAATGTTTTATATTAAGTTTAGGAAAGGGGTATTTTCATTAGAATTGCAGCGTATTTTAATTTCCCGACACAACTCTGCCAAGATCCTAACAAAAAATGTCTCCTTGATGGTCCTATTAATATATGGTATTAATAAAAGCTTGGGATGCTGTGAGTTCTCCAGGCTGTATGGCCATGTTCCAGAAGCATTCTCTTCTGACGTTTCACCCACATCTATGGCAGGCATCCTCAGAGGTTGTGAGTTATATTGGAAACTAAGCAAGGGAGGTTTATATATCTGTGGAAGGTCCAGGGTGGGAGAAAGAACTCTTGTCTCTTGGAGGTAAGTGTGAATGATACTAACAGGAGCGGAGCGCAGGGAGCATACAACTCCTCTGCTGCACCAGCTTCACTGGCTGCCGATTCGCTACCGCGCCCAATTCAAAGTGCTGGCATTGGCCTTTAAAGCCCTAAACGGTTCTGGCCCAACTTACCTATCCGAACGTATCTCGGCCTATCAGCCCGCCAGGACCCTAAGATCTTCTGGGAGGGCCCTGCTCTCTATCCCGCCTGCTGCTCAAGTGCGGCTGGCGGGGACAAGAGACAGGGCCTTTTCTGTGGTCGCCCCGCGGCTATGGAACGCCCTTCCCATGGAGGTAAGATCAGCCCGCTCATTGATGGTATTTCGAAAAAGACTAAAAACCTGGATGTTCGAGCAGGCGTTCGGTTAACTCAGTGCAATAAGTGTAATGATTGAAGGACTGGCAATTTGGACGACGAAACTGGATCACGTTTTTAGTCGAGATGAATTGGATTGTTTATTGATATATGTATTGTGGATTGTGTTTTTTATGCTTTTAAACTGTATACTGTTGTTTGTTATAAGTTGTTGTAAACCGCGTTGAGTCACCGGCTAGGCTGAGAAACGGCGGTATACAAGTATAGCAAATAAATAAATAAATAAATAAATAAATAAATGTTGCAATTAAACACCTTGATCAGCATTGCAAAGCTTTGCAGCTTCAAGGCCTGGCTAATTCCTGCCTGGGGGAATCCGTTGTTGGAACGTGTTAGCTGGCCCCGATTGTAATATAAATCATTCACTTGCCCAATAGTGTATCAGCTTAGATTTCATGCAGGGTGTCAAAGCAAAGCCAGCTTTACAATGGAATGTTGCAGTCAATTCTGTCTTTCCAGTGCAAATGAAATGCATTTCCAAACACATTTACTAAGTAACACACTATAGTGGGTAGGAGTTAAAATCAAACATGCAATACAAGGATAGAGATCCTGTGGTCCTTCAGATGTTGATGAATCCTCATTATCCTTGAGGACTGACGGCTGGCAGAGGAGCATATAGACAGCATCTTGCGGGTCCCAGGTTCCCCACTACAATGTAACATTTGGACTGATCCTGAGAAAATCCCCAAAAGATATTGAGGCTGGTTGAAATAGGCTGGAAAAATTCAGCTCCAGTATATTCCTCAGAAGTAGGGAAGGTGAACCAAAGCAAAACTTAACACATTCATATGGGCTGCATATTTTCCTAAATTGGCAGGAAAATGACATATCAGTAAAGAAGCAAAAAGAGAGAAAGGTCCACAAGAACTTGCAGGGATGTAACATGGAACAAACTAGGCAGCCCTGCCTATTTACTCAGACAAGTTCCTTTTTTGGATTACATTTCTCTGGGCCCTTCCACACAGCCATAAAACCCAGAATATCAAGGCAGAAAATCCCACAATATCTGCTTTGAACTGGGTTATCTGAGTCCGCACTACTATATATTCCAGTTCAAAGCAAAAAATGTGGGGTTTTATTCGGCTGTGTGGAAGGGGCCTCAAAATCCCACTGCTGCATGCATGGACTGTGGCCATACAAGTTGGAGGAATCCAAGAAATGAAGCCCAAAACTTAACTTTTCAAACGCATTCCACCATATGCTGGAGATCACAGCGGCAGCATATCATGGTGAGGCTCTTAGCCAGCAAAAATGGTTAGACCCAATTACTTAGTTAAGTAAGAATCACAGCTTCAGCTATACAAAATGCAACCCTTTGTTAAAGAATTCTGATGCTATAGTAACACAGATGAAAAAACATACTTTTGTTTACAACACCCATTCTTCACAGCATGGATTGGTTTTCCATGGAGAAATCGCTGGTCACGTGGAAATGGATTCTCTTAACCCCCAGCTGTTAAAATCACATTTAAAAAGACAAAATAATACATTGAATACTTCCACAGTTACTATTTCATCAACAAGGCTATTACTACCAGGCTACTATAAAATGGAGGGAAATGTGGGATTAAAATACAGGTATTATCGTATGACACACATCCCAATAAAGGAAGGACTAAATTATTTGATATTTCCATAACACAAAGTAAAGGTAAATGTTTTCCCATAACATTAAGTCTAGTCAAGTCTGATTCTGGGGGTGGTGTTCATTTCCATTTCTGAGCCAAAGAGCCAGTTTTGTCCATAGCACCTCCTAGGTCATGTGGTCGGCATGACTGCATGGAGTGCCATTATTTTTCCACCGAAACAGTACCTATTGATCTACTCACATTTGCATGTTTTCGAACTGCTAGGTTGGCAGAAGCTCAGGCTAACGACAGGAGCTCCTATTGTCCTGCAGATCTGAACCACCGGTCAGCAAGTTCGGCAGCGTAGCGGTTTAACTACTGTGCCAATGCGGCCCCTTTAACATGAAGTATTAAGGCATTTTTAAAAATCCTGGACACCAAAAGGAAACAAATAAATACATACAATGTAATCAATAAACCAAGAACAGATTCAGAGTAGAAGCTATAACACACAAAGCTCACTTAAATATGAGAAGGTATTTGCCTCTCTGTATTTAGTCCACATTTTTTCTAAAATCACTTTTTCTTCAATCTGAATGATAGGATTGCGTAGCCGAGAAGCTACATTCCAACCATATGAATGAGATGAAACATACCCAATAGGAATTTCTTTTAAATTGTCTTGGGGGGAAAAGCTGTATGAAAAGAAATGGAGCTTCATCGTGAAATAAACATCCCAGCCTAAGCCTAACTGTGTTCACCAGTGTTTGTCCCAGGACTCAGCAGAAACATGGTTAGACTATTCAAGAGGGAAGGTGGAGGAAGAACTCTACATCCCGCCTTTTCTTTTTTCAGAAGAAAAGAAATGAATAGAGTTGAGATGGAGAAGTTAACTAACTATATATGTGTCTATATGCATTTGTGTGTGTCTGAATAGAGATAGAAAGGTATAGGAGATGTACAAGTATAGTGGTTTTGCTCAATACTGTGCAGTTTTGTGTAATAGGGATGGGGGTTAAGTTTATGTTCAATAACACTGTTTATTTCTTTTATCTTACCTATGTTTTCCTATGCTTTGGGTTGTTAGATGTTTTTGATATTTTCAGCTACATATATCTATGTGTGTGTGTGTGTGTGTGTGTGTGTGTGTGTGTGTGTGTATAATTCTTCACCTGCTAGATTGTCTTTGTATTTTTAAAAATCCTGGACATATGCATATTTTATGTTAATTGTTATTGTTATTGTTATAAATGTTGATGTAATTTGCTTGTATTTTATGTGTTTTGATGACACTATTGTGAGCCTTCTGAAAGCCGCCCTGATTCCCATCTGGGAGATGGTGGCAGGATATAAATAAAGTTTTTTATTATTATTATTATTATTATTATTATTATTATTATTATTATTATTATTTTACTGACACAAAAACACAGTATGTCACAGCAAACGAGATCTATATGCTAGATCAGGGGTCCTCAAACTTTTTAAACAGAGGGCCAGGTTACAGCCCCTCAAACTGCTGGAGGGCCAAATTATAATTTGAAAAAAGCATGAATGAATTCCTATGCACACTGCACATATCTTATTAGTAGTGCAAAAAACACTTAAAAACAATAGAATAATTAAAATGAAAAACAATTTTAGCAAATCTAAATTTATTAGTATTTCAATGGGAAGTGTGGGCCTGCGTTTGGCTGATGAGATAGGATTGTTGGTGTTGTTGTGTGCTTTTGAAATCGTTTAAGACTTAGGTTGACCCTGAGCAAGGGCCGGGTAAATGACCTTGGAAGGCCGCATTCGGCCCTCGGGCCTTAGTTTGAGGACCTCTGTGCTAGATTTCGTATCACAAAATCACAAGTCGAACACTTCCCAAGTGTCTAGGACTGTATGATGTATTACCCCAGTAAGGTGGCCTTCTGCAGTTAGCAGATGGTAATTTTGTCAGCGCCGACTGTGTTTAAGTGTAGGCCAAGGTCTTTAGGCACTGCACCCAGTTATTTTTTTGTAAAAAGAATGTTTTCATAAAAAAATATTTTGTATGTATGTATGTATATATATATATATATATATATATATATATATATATATAATATAAGCGGGGTCAAACTCTGCAGTGTAGATGCACCTTAAACAAAAGTTCAACCTAAGCCTCCTTTAGAGATGCGCTTTGCCCATTCATAGAAAGTTGTGCAATTCAATTCGATTGTGTTTAAGTGCAGGCCAAGGTCTTTAGGTACTGTACCCAGTTGTTGTATTTTTGGAATATATATATATATATATATAGTAAAAAAATATTTTTGTAAAAAAATTATTATTGTAAGTGGGGTCATATTCTGCAGTGTAGATGCGCCCTAAACCAAAGTCCAACCCAAGCCTCCTTGAGAGACGCGCTTTGCCCATTCATAGAAAGTTGTGCCATTCAAAGAAAGGCAGAGGGAACTTCCCTTGCTTGGAAAAAGTTTGTCCAACTCTTTCCTCTCTTCCCCTCCGCCGGGTCCCAAGGCGAGAAGGCAGGCAGGCAGCAGCTGTTGGTGTCCCTCCCGCCCGTTGTTTTCGCCTTTTGTTCTCCGCCGGCGCTGGGCGGCTGCCTCTCCTCGCCTGGCCCCCTCCCACAGGTGATGAGGAGGATGGGGAGGAGGAGGAGGAGGATGCAGCTCCGCCTGGCCCCGCCCCCTCCCCTTTACCCTCTCCCTCCCCTTCTCCCATTGGAAAGGCTAAGCTCCCCTTGGCCGGCCAGCCAGCCAGCCTGCCTGCCTGCCCTTATTTAATTTGGTGTGTGATTTCGCTATTTTTAGCCCCTGGATTCCCTCCAGCAGGACTTAGGGGAGTTATTTTTCCCCACCACCACCACTACCTTCTCCTGCAACCCATTTTGATCCAGCTTCCTTCCTCTTGGAACATTTTTTTAAAATCCATATAAATAAGGAGAGGGTGACTGTCTCCTTACCCTCTCTCTCTCTCCTTTCTTTTTCCCTTTCCTCCTGCTGTGAGGTTCTCTCTCTCTCTCTCTCTCTCTGCCTTTTGCTCCAGATCTGCAGCCACCAGCCAGCCAGTCAGGGATTGTTTTATTTTATTTGCAGCGCCAGGAATCCAAACCCATAACACAGATTCGCGCCTAAGAGCAATTGTAAGTTTCTGGGGTTATGCTTATTTTATATATAGAGATAGATACAGTATATATATTGATAAGATATATGGGAAGTGGAAGGTGAAAGTTTGCCTTTTAATTGTGGGGAGAAGAGGGAAGACCCGGCGTTTCATTTGCAAAGTCATTTCCAGTTTGCAAAAAAGGAGATTTTGTTGCTGGGGATTTGCTATAGGAAGCCTGCTTATTTTATATATAGAGATAGATAGTGTATATATATTGATATATGGGAAGTGGAAGGAGAAAGTTTGCCTTTGGATTGTGGGGAGAAGAGGAAGGAAGACCTGGCGCTTCATTTGCAAAGTCATTTCCAGTTTGCAAAAAGGAGGATTTTGTTGTTGCTGGGGATTTACTATAGGAGTAATTGGTCATTCCTGGGGATTTGCTATAGGAGTAATTGGCCATAGGAAGGAAGCAAGGCATGGGGAAATAATGCCACCTCCCGCCTTGTAGTCTGATAATAGTGCATTGTGAGTGTGGATGTGAGAAAAGAAGGGGGGAATTGGGGAAAATCTTGCTAGTTTGGGGTTTTTTTGGGGGGGGGGTGCAAATTGCCCTTGCAATGTGTACAATTGGGAGACGGCTTCATCCAAAGGCTAGTCTCATAATAATGCATTGTGAGTGTGGATGTGAGAAAACAAGGGGGGATTTGGGGAAGAGCTTACTAGTTTGGGGGTTTTTTTGGGGGGGGGGCAAATTGCCCTTGCAATGTGTACAATTGGGAGACTGCTTCATCCAAAGGCTAGTCTCATAACAATGCATTGTGAGTGTGGATGTGAGAAAAGAAGAGGGGATTTGGGGAAGAGCTTGCTAGTTTGGGGTTTTTTTGGGGGGGGGCAAATTGGCCTTGCAATGTGTACAATTGGGGGGCTGCTTCATCCAGGGCTAGTCTTATAATAGTGTATTGTGACTGTGGGTGTGATAAGAGAAAAGAATAGGGGTTTGGGGGAAAGCTTGTTAGTTTGGGTTTTTTTGTGGGGGGGGGGGCAAATTGGCCTTGCAATGTGTACAATTGGGGGGCTGCTTCATCCAAGGGCACTTGATCCTGTGGAGGGGATGAATGGCCACATTTCTGCAGCACATTTTTGGGATGCAATGGTGGGGATTTTTCCTCCTCCTTTGCTTTGGAGGAGCCAAAGGTTGTGAAGGCTTGGGTTTAATTTCCCCAAAGGGCTGTGGCTCTGGTCTTATTGGGTGGGTTGGGGGTTGGGGGGGGGGGGCGGAATCTCCTCTTGCTGCCCTTTTCTCCCCACCTTTCCTTCTACTATTTCTTTGCAAAAGGAGAAAAAAAAAAGGCATCCGCGCCGGGTCTGTTTCCTTTTCAAATCGGGACTTTTTTCCCTCTGCTTATTAATTTTTGCAAAAAAAATAAATCTAGTCATAAATGCCTTCCAATAGACATGCAGATGGGGGAATTGGTGCGGTGGGTGCGTGCAAATAGCAGGTCGCGCTGGCGAGGAACTCCCCCTTCCGCTCTGTTAAAGGGGAGGAAGGAGGAGGAGAAGAAGAAGAAGATTCCCCGGCCATTCATTTCCCTTTAAATCTGGAGAATAGCAGCAGCAGCACCATGCTCTTGGGCGCGTGCAAAGCCTAGGAGGTTGGCCTAGGAAAAGCATTTGGTTCTTCCTCCTTCCCCAAACCCTTTCTTTTCCTATTGTTTTTCCTCCCCCTAAAAATGATTTTAAAAAAGGTAGCACTGGCATCCATGGCTCCCCCCCCCCCATTATTCCCCCCTCCCAGCCTTGCTTTGAAGGGTCTTGTTGCTTAGGCAGGTCGTGCATTTGTATAGGTTGCTAGTTTGCTCCTTTGAAACAATAGGTGGGGAAGTGGCTGGGCTTGAAGTGAAAAATGGCTTATATTGGGAGGTGCAACCTGGTTTGGATGTATGGAGTAATAAGGGAGGAGGGAAACCCACATTGCAGCCAAGGCATGGAGAAGGGGTTTTCTGGCTGTTTTCTCCCTTTCCCCTTTGTGTGTTTACTTGTTTTTATTTTTTTTGGGGGGGGGGCAGTGTAGATCCAGCTTAGATCTGCCCGGGTTATTTGAAAAAGGCGTTTGTTTTCTGTATATATTTCAGATTTCAATATTAATGTCACAAATATGTAGTATGATTTTTACATAGGATGTATGCTACATTAGAACACTAAAGACAAATGTCACTTAAGTAAAATAAATATTAAATAACCAGAAAAATAAGTAAAATAAATATTAAATAACAAGAAAAATAAAATAGGGTGTAAACACTAAACTAATGTGGGAATCTGCTATTCCAACGCATCCAATGAAGTGGTTTAAAAACCAGTATAAAAAAGATTAGGACTAAGTATGATCCAGTCTACATGGATTACATGAAGATCATTCCAGAAACATGTTCACGAGTTAGGTCCAAGAGTTAGGGTTAGTAATTTGTAACGTTACGTATTAGGGAAAAAGTCAGTCTTTGCTTTTGTTTTTTTATGAATGCTCCCATTAGAAAATGCATAAGGATGTGTGGGTGAACTGCAATTCCCAAAAATTCAAAAGTTTTTGCACTTTCCCTTAGCTCTATCTAGGTATTTGCACAAATAATTAAAAACGTATAATAATAAAACTTTATTTATATTCCACTCTATCTCCCCGAAGGGACTCAGGGCGAATTCCAAACATAAAAGGCAAACATTCAGTGTCCGAATACAACAATACTTCCATACTAACAAAATGTAAACAACCCAACATATAAACACAAATTATAACATAACAAACTAAAATTAAATAAAAACACAGCTTGTTATAACAGACATAAGACAAAACATCAGTCGTTGAATGGAAACAATAATTTCCCATTTCCTTGGGGCAAATTGATAAATCATTGCTCAAGATATCTATTGAGCAGGTGGGGTGAACAGGGTACAGATAGGGATGGCAGCTATTAATCAGGGGTATAATAGTAGTATTTATTTATTTTGTATCAAAAGCATTGCATAAATTAATATAAAACTGAGAAAAATAGAAGGTGTGCAGGCAGCTAAATATCTTTTGACCAAAAACGGGCAACAGCAATGGCATTGTCTGTAGCCTCCAACAATTCCTCCTCTGTACATGAGGGGGGCACAATGGACAAGCATACAGATTCAGAGTTGTGTGTTCTGCTCCACAGTCACACAAGGTTTGGGATTCTTTTAGGTAGTGCCATTTTGCCAGGTTGTCTTTTGATCTGCCCACTCAGCTTCTTAGTCTGTTCAGGGACTTCCAAGTTGCCCATTTTTTGTTTGCTCCTGGAGGAATGGTAGTATTACAAGCTACTATTCCTTCTCCTCTTAAGCCAGTGAGCAAAGGTATGTCTCCACTGTTTCTTGAAAGCGGGGAGGGAGGGGGCCATATTTAACTCCTTAGGAAGGGAGTTCCAGAGATGGGGGGCAGCACTTTTATCGTTCTGTATGACACTGTTTATATGATGTTATGTTTCATTGTGATATGTTTTTATTTGGTTTTGTTTTGATGCTATCTTATTGTGTTACTTTTTAACTTTGTGCTCTCTGGGCTTGTCCCTTTGTAAGCTTCCCCACGTCCCTTAGGGGAGATGGAGGTGGGGTATAAAAATAAAGTTATTATTATTATTACTATTATTTATGTTCCCTAACCAGAGATATAGGGCCACATCACACTACAGAAAAAAATCCACTTAAAATCAGGTTTCTGCTTCCTGCAGAATTCTAGGGTTTGTCATTTACAGAGGAGCCTTGAACAGTCTCAATAAAATACAAACCCCAGAATTCTTCAGGAGGCAGAAATCACATTTTAAGTGGATTTTATAATATAATAACTTTATTTTTATACCCTGCCACCATCTCCTCAAGGGGACTCAGGGTGGCTTACAAGGGGACAAGCCCAAGATTACAGATAAAAACGGAACACATTAAAATCAATCAAATAAAGACATAACACAGTCACAAAACATCATCATAAAACAATCTTATGGCTGAGATAGTGCTCTTTTTACATTGCCCTCCATTCTCTAACTTTGCAGTCTGGCCCCAGCACTTTAGCCATCAGACCTGTCCTTGCAAATGATTTGCGCCTGCTCAAGCTCAGAAACTGTTTATTACTCAGGCCATTGGTAGTTTGCTTGATGGTTGTTTTATAGTGTTGTGTGGTTTGTTTTATATTGTTTTGGAAGTTTTTATGAATTCTGTTTTACATTTTAACCATGTTGATTGAGCTTGTCACCATGAAAGCTGTCCTGCTTGGGGAGATGGAGGTGGGGTACAAAAATAAAGCTGTTATTATTATTATTATTATTATTATTATTATTATTAACTTGGGCATGTTGGGTCTGTGTACCAAGTTTGGTCCAGATTTAGTTCACAATACTCTCTGGATGTAGGTGAACTACAACTCCTCTAAATTCTCCCGAAAGACTTACAGTATTTTTGGTTGATCATGGGGGATCTGTGTGCTGAGATAGTTCCAGGTCCATCCCTGTTGGGGTTCAGAGTGCCCTTTGATTGCCGGTGAACTATACATCCCAGTACGGTAGAGTCTCGCTTATTCAACCTTCGCTCATCCAATGTTCTGTATTATCCAATGCAGTCTGCCTCCCGCCCAGAATAATGTCCAGGGTGGGAGAAGGAAAGAACCCTTGTCTGTT